AGTGATTCTCCTGCCTCAGCCTCCTGAGAAGCTGGGATTACAGGCACGCACCACCACACCCAGATAATTTTTGTATTTTTAGTAGAGGCGGGGTTTCACCATGTTGACCAGGATGGTCTTGGTCTTGATCTCTTGACCTTGTGATCCACCCGCCTTGGCCTCCCAAAGTGCTGGGATTACAGGCATGAGCCACCGTGCCTGGCCACTTAAAAAACAAAAACAAAAACAGGATCCTTCTCCGTCAAGCAGGCTGGAATGCAGTGGTGTGATCACAGTTCACTGCAGCCTCCATCTCCCAGGCTCAAGCAATCTTCCTACCTCAGCCTCCCAATAGCTGGAAGTACAGGCAAGTGCCACCATGCCCAGCTAACTTTTGTATTTTTGGTACAGACAGGATTTCACCACGTTGCCCAGGCTGGTCTCAAACTCCTGAGCTCAAAAGATCTGTGTGCCTGGGATTAGACATGAGCCGCCTTGCCCAGCCAGCAATATGCTATTTTCAGTATGTATGTGTAGTTAAATCCATACATTTAATATCGCGAGTGGCAGAGAGGTGCCTGCGTATTTCACATGGACCCCAGAATAAACTTATGCTGACTTTTGTGTGACCGTGGCTCACTGCTGATGCACTGTCCCGGTTACGGGCATGGGTGTCTGCTTCTGGCAGACTTGGGCAGCGACCATGGTGAGCATCCTGACAGGGTACTTCATCCCAGGCCTCAGTTTCTCATCCTGTCTGGTGAGTTTAATCTTCATTTAACAAATTAGCAATCTTCATTTAACAAATTAGCAACAAACTAACACAGAAACAGAGCTGGGATCTTTCTACTCACCAAGAGGATGAATTTACCACCTTTTTGTGCCTCAGTTTCATCCTCTGTCCAGACTGCCGGGTCCAGCTGGCTCCCTGGTCTATCACGCATCCCAACCTCCAGTAGCCTCCAACCAACTCCTCATGCGCCCCCACCACCATTCCCCACTCTCTTCCCACCAGACGTCTCAGAACCAAGCAGCCAGGGTCAGGCCGCAAGGCCTCAGGTGGTCCTGGGCTCTTTCTCTCACGGCCACAGCCCCTTTATCAGCAAGTTCTGTTGTTCCAGCTTCAAAACAGATTCATAACCTGCCCACTTCTCCCCACTGTGATGGCCACTGCCCTGGCCCAGCCTCCACCCGCTCCTGCTTGGACCATCATGGTCGCCTCCTGTCTGGTCTCTGTAGCTCCCTCCTCACTGCTCCCGCAGTCTGTCTGCACCACCACCAGAGGAGCCTGGGAACACCTGAGTCAGGTCACATCCCTCCATGCTCAGAACCCGCCCATCAGGTCAGGCTCTGTGGCTCACACCTGTAATCCCAGTACTTTGGGAGGCCAAGGTGGGCGGATCACGAGGTCAGGAGTTTGAGACCAGCCTGGCTAATATGGTGAAACCCCATCTCTACTAAAACCATTTTTAAAAAATTAGCCGGGCGTGGTGACATGCACCTGTAGTCCCAGCTACTCAGAGGCTGAGGCAGGAGAATCGCCTGAACCCAGGAGGTGGAGGTTGCAGTGAGCCGAGATTGAACCACCACTCCAGCCTGGGTGACAGAGCGAGACTGTCTCAAAAAACAAAACAAAAACAAAAACGAAACGCACCCATGGCTCCATCTCATTCAGGGTAAAGGCCAAGTCCCTCCCTGCAGCCGGCAAGGCCTTGTAGGATCCTTCTTCGCCACCTCCCTGACCTTGGCTCCTCCACTCTCTCCTGCAATCTCCTTAATGCTCACATCCCGCTGCTCGGCTTCTCTTAACTAGACGAATACAGGCTCACCTCAGCACCTGTGCGCCGGCTGTCCCTTCCCTTTCCGGAACACACTCTTCCCCCAGATAACCCCAAGGCGCTCTCCCTGGCTTCCTACAGCTCTTTGCTTAAACGTCACCTTCTCAGAGAGGCCTCCCCTGACCAAGACACCTGTCCAAACGTTTGAATGGACACTTGTGTCTTGAGAGAAAAATAATATCACACATAGCTTCAAAAGTGCTGAATCCTCACAATTCAAAAAGGAGCAAAGACCACCGTCTGTTCCCGAAAACTGGATCGGTGACAAAAAGCGGCAGGGGTTGAAGAACGTGGTGACAGGTTTGAATAAAATGGTTTCATGAAATATGAGAGCAGAGGCCGGGCGCGGTGGCTCAAGCCTGTAATCCCAGCACTTTGGGAGGCCGAGGCGGGTGGATCACAAGGTTGAGAGATCGAGACCATCCTGGTCAACATGGTGAAACCCCGTCTCTACTAAAAGTGCAAAAAAATTAGCTGGGCATGGTGGCACGTGCCTGTAATCCCAGCTACTCAGGAGGCTGAGGCAGGAGAATTGCCTGAACCCAGGAGGCGGAGGTTGCGGTGAGCCGAGATCGCGCCATTGCACTCCAGCCTGGGTAACAAGGGCGAAACTCCGTCTCAAAAAAAAAAATAAATAAATAAAATAAAAATAAAAAATAAAAAATAAAAAATAAAAAAAAAGAAATATGAGAGCAGAAGATTTTTTCTGCATCTTTATGTAATATATTGTTTTGTTTTGCTTTGTTTTTGTCTGGCTCGGTCACCCAGGATGGAGTACTGGAGTGCAGTGGCATGATCTCGGCTCACTGCAGCCTCTGCCTCCTGGGTTCAAGCAATTCACCTGCCTTAGCCTCCCGAGTAGCTAGGACTACAGGCGCATGCCACCACACTCGGCTAATTTTTGTATTTTCGGTAGAGATGGGGTTTACATCAGCACCCCTATTCCCAAACACATGCACTGTTTCTGATTCCCCTTCTGTGCTCCAGGGGCCCATGACCACCTTATATGCTCTGTATGTGGTGTCTCCATTTTGTCCATCATCTCCCTTCTCCCTGCAATAGGGAATCAACTCAGTGGACATTTACTGTGACAGAAGTTGACAAACAAGGGCCAGCAGGGTCTTGGGGCAGGTGTCATGACATCAACCATAGAAAGCGCTTGGCTTCGAGCGAGCTGTTATCATATCTGAGCCACGTTCTGGAATAAAGGTGACCCTCTGGGCAGAAGGTTTATTCTGAGCCCAGAGTCTCCCTATGTTGCTCAGGCTGGTCTCAAACTCATGGGCTCAAGCGATCTTCTGCCTTGGCCTCCCAAAGTGCCGGCATCACAGGACTCCTCGTCTTGGAAGAAGGAGGCCTCCCCTGCCCTCTGCCTCCCACCAGCCCTGGGCAGGAACACCTGCCTCACCATCCCCAGGTGGGAGCACCTGCCCCACCCGAGAAATCTGGACCTAAAGGGAGTTGTTTCTCCCCCTGGTGGTAGCTTTCAGGGCTGCAGGTGCGGAGAGAAAACACTAGAACACCTATTTATTTTCAGTGTTACCTCTGTTTTATAATTCGAGGTTCTGAGTTATGATCTAGAGCTTGAATGAATACTGCTGTAGTGCACCATCTAATTTTTTTGTTTTTCTTTTCTTTTTTTTTTTTTGAGACACAGTCTCACTCTGTCGCCAAGTTTGGAGTGCAGTGGTGCGATCTCAGCTCACTGCAACTTCTGCCTCCGGAGTTCAAGTGATTCTCCTGCCTCAGCCTCCTGAGTAGCTGGGATCGCAGGTGCGCACCACTGCACCTGGCTAATTTTTGTATTTTTAGTAGAGGCAGGGTTTCACCATGTCGGTCAGGCTGGTCTCAAACTCCTGACCTCGTGATCCACCCACTTTGGCCTCCCAAAGTGCTGAGATTACAGGCATAAGCCACCGTGCCTGGCCACATCATGTAATTTTTATACATATTCATAAAACAGGTAGAGGCAGCAACATTTTGTGGTTGTTTTGATCTGTTTCTTGTTTGAGACAAGGTCTCCCAGGTTGCAGTGCAGTGGCACCGTCACAGCTCACTGCAGTCTTGACTTGCTGAACTCAAGCAATCCCCCCACCTCAGCCTCCTGAGTAGCTGAGACTACAGGCACATGCCACCATGGCCAGTTAATTTTTGTATTTCTTGTAGAGACAAGCTCTCCCTATATTGCCCAGGCTGGTGTCGAACTCCTGGGCTCAAATGATCTCCTGCCTTGGCCTCTCAAAGTGCTGGGGTTACAGGTGTGAGCCACTGTGCCCAGAGCATCAACATTTTTCACTGTTAGGGGTGTGCGACTCCCCTCAAGCCAAAAGCCAACAATGTGAGCCATCCTTGCTTGAATGCCCCAGGGTGAGGCCCTCAGCTAAGTACCTGACATGCACGAGCCATGTTTATAATTGGGTAAAGCATAAAAAAGTATAAAAAGGTGCTCCTGGCCAGGCATGGTGGCTCGTTCCTGTAATCCCAGCACTTTGGGAGGCCAGGGCGGGCGGATCACCAGAGGTCAGGAGTTCGAGACCAGCCTGCCCAACATGGTGAGACCCCATCTCTACTAAAAATACAAAAAATTAGCTGGGCATAGTGGCAGGCACCTGTAATCCCAGCTACTCAGGAGACTGAGGTGGGAGAATTGCTTCACTCTGGGAGGCGGATGTTGCAGTGAGCTGAGTTCGTGCCACTGCACTCCAGCCTAGGCGACAAGAGCAAAACTCCATCTACAAAAAAAAAGGTGCCCCTTCCTTAAGGCACAACATCCACTTGTTGAACGCCTGTTATAGTATATGGATTTTGTTAGATGAAGTCACTTTGGAAACACCTTCAACAATGTGCAATCTGGGCTACCTAGAGTGCACAGAGTCCCCTCAGCCATGGGCTCCTTCCATATCACATATACATAGGATATGCTTGAGAGGAGGTCACTGCCACCGCACTGCAGACCTGAAAGGGCAAAGCTGTCCTGGCCCCCGTTTGACAGAGGGGAAACTGAGGCAGAGAGGACATGACTCACTGCAGGTCACGCAGCAAGGAGGGAGTAGGCCGATCCCTGGCCCCTCATTGCTGGAGTCCCCACACGAGCTCTTGGGCACGCAGCTCTGCTCCTCCTCGGAGGACACGGTGCCCGTTCCACCCAGCCATGCTCTTTCCACGACGCTTGCATCTGCCTACCTGTGTGTAGCAGCGCAGGAGTAGCCCCTTGTCCTTCAGCAGGCGTATGAAGTAGTGACAGATGGTCGGCTGCAGGGAAGAACCACAGCACTGCTGATTATCGTAGGGAACAGCCGCAGGCCACCGTCACGTGCCAGGAACTGTTCAAGGCGCTGCAACTGTTTTACCCCCAGGGAACCATCGCCGCAGCTGTGTTGGGGAGAGACTACCGCCACCCCAGTTCACAGATGAGGAAACTGAAGGACAGGGACGGGGACTGTGTTGCCAAAGTCGCAAGGTAGGTAAGCTGCAAAGCTGCGGTTCACCCCCAGGCAGCCTGGCTGCAGGGCCCCAGGCTCTCAAGCACACCACCAATGCAGCTAAGCCTTGCAGCAGCCCTCTTCGGACAGTACCATGAGCTTCACTTCACGGGAGGCAAATCGGAGGCTCAAGGTCATAAGATGAAGACACGAGGAGCCAGGACTTGAACCCAGGCAGTCTGGGCCCAGCATTCATGTGCCTAATGGCTATATAATATTTGTCTGCAGGGCCCTGGGGGGCTTCCCATGCATATCCTCCCTTTCTGTTTCACCCCCGACAAAAAAAAAAAAAAGATCTCACCTTGAACTGCCTAGGATAGAGTTCCTTGGCAAGGGCGAAGAAGGGTTCTGGATGTTTCTGTAGGAGAGACAGCCAGAGGGCCAGATGCCCCAGGTAGGATGAGCGTTGGAACCAGGCAAGCCCCATCCATCCCCTTCACAGACACCCCTTCCTCGGGGGGCACAAACCTTGAAATAGCTGATCTCGAAGATGGCCTCTGGGTAGGGAAGATGGTACTTCTCTAGGTTGTCATAGAGGCCGGTGGATGGAGAGCGGAAGTCGGGGATGCCCGCGGCTGGGGGAGGAGGGTTGGGGAGCAGTCTGTCTATACTGTACTGACCCTCCCAGGCCAGGGCCCAGACAGGGATCCTCCCTGCCCTTGGGAGGGACTCCCCAATTCCTGGGGGGGTGGCTGCTGGGGGAGGAAGGTACTTACATGTGGAGATTCCAGCTCCCACCAAACAGATGACTTTGCGACCTGGAGGAGAGGAACTTATGCACCGTAGGACACCATTTGCTCAGTCCCTACAATAGCACCACCCATCACAGCCCCTGACACCGTTTACTCTATGCCAGGCCCTGGGGCAAGCATCTCAGAGGCATGATGGGCCTTCCAATCATCTGGAGGAGGATGGTGTTAAGATCTCCATTTTTATAAATGAGAAAACAGGCTGAGATAGGGGAAGAAGCCACACAGTTGACTGTGGAAGAGCCAGCCAGCGGGTAAAGAATCCAATGTTGGGCCGGGCACGGTGGCTCACACCTGTAATTCCAGAACTTTGGGCGGCCTAGGCAGGTGGGTCACCTGAGATCAGGAGTTCGAGACCAGCCTGGCCAACATGGTGAAACCCCATCTCTACTGAAAATACAACATAAGCCTGGCGTGCTGGCGTGCACCTGTAATCCTAGCTACTTGGGAGGCTGAGGCAGGAGAATCACTTGAACCCGGGAGGCAAAGGTTGCAGTGAGCTGCGATTGTGCCATTGCATTCCAGCCTGGGTGACAGAGCAAGACGCCGTCTCAAAAGAAGAAAAAAAAAGAATCCACTGTTGGAAAGTACATCAACTTGGACTTGAGAAAAGGCCAGCTGAGGATAAGAACCTCAGGCTGAGCAGAAATGGCTGGTGGCTGGTGAGTAGCCACAGGGCCATAGTACGTTGGCATCTGCCCGTCAGCTGACAGGCACAAGTGTGACATGCTGTGCGTCAGGTGCCTCAGGAGGCAAATCAGAGGCTCAAAGTCATAGGACGAAGACAAGAGGAACCAGGACTTGAACCCAGGCAGTCTGGGCCCAGCACCCATGGACTTAATGGCTACATAATATTTGTCTGCAACTTACGTCCTCCCTGTCCAAGGGAGGAGAGAAAAGGTGAACAGAGCACAAAGCCTGCCGCAGCTTCAGCCCTGAGCTTCGACTCTGAGATGCCATCAGGTCAGTCCTGGTTGAATCCAGTGGTGGCTATATGTGACCTGATTCAGGGGACCTGGGTTCACATCCTGGCTCTGCCACTTGGCAGCTGTTTGACCCTGCACTGAGTCACAACCTTTCTGTGCCTCCATTTCCTCTTCTGTCCAGATCACTCCCATAATGATCTCACCGGTATAATGTGAAGATTAAATTTTTAATTTTTTTTTTTTTTTTGAGACGGAGTTTTGCTCTTGTTACCCAGGCTGGAGTGCAATGGCGCGATCTCGGCTCACCGCAACCTCCGCCTCCTGGGTTCAGGCAATTCTCCTGCCTCAGCCTCCTGAGTAGCTGGGATTACAGGCACGTGCCACCATGCCCAGCTAAATTTTTTGTATTTTTAGTAGAGGCGGGGTTTCACCATGTTGACCAGGATGGTCTCGATCTCTTGACCTCGTGATCCACCCACCTCGGCCTCCCAAAGTGCTGGGATTACAGGCTTGAGCCACCGCACCCGGCCAAATTTTTAATATTTTTTATACTTTTTTTTTTTTTTTTTTCAGAGACGGGGTCTCGCTATGTTGCCCAGGCTGGAGTGCAGTGGCTATTTACAGGTGTGATCCCACTACTGATCAGCACGGGAGTTTTGACCGGCTCCGTTTCCTACCTGGGTCGATTCACCCTTCCTTAGGCAACCTGGTGGTCCCTCGCTCCCAGGAGGTCACCACATAGATGCCGAACTTAACTTAGTGTGGACACCCGATGGGCATAGTGCACTACAGCCCAGAACTCCTGGACTGAAGCGATCTTCCCACTTCAGCTTCCTGAGTAGCTGGGACTACAGGCACGCGCCACCGCGCCTGGTATGAAGATCTCAGTTCCTGGCAAATAGTGAAGTCTCAACTAAGTGCTTAAAAAGAAATTTTTAGGGCTGGGCGTGGTGGCTCAAGCCTGTAATCCCAGCACTTTGGGAGGCCAAGGCGGGTGGATCACAAGGTCAAGAGATTGGGACCATCCTGGTCAACATGGTGAAACCCCGTCTCTACTTAAAATACAAAAAATTAGCTGGGCATGGTGACACGTGCTTGTAATCCCAGCTACTCAGGAGGCTGAGGCAGGAGAATTGTTTGAACCCAGGAAGCGAAGGTTGTGGTGAGCCGAGATCGCGCCATTGCACTCCAGCCTGGGTAACAAGAGCGAAACTCCGTCTCAAAAAAACCCCCAAATTTTTAGAGAGGTGAGGTGAGGGTTGCAGCCTCACCTTTTAATTTCTGTAGAGAAGGGTTCTTGCTTGTTGCCCAGGCTGGTCTTGACCTCCTGGCCTCAAGCTTTCTTCCTGCTTTCAGCCTCCCAAAGTGCTGGGATTACAGGCCTGAACCACCATACCTGGCCTCAATGAATTATGATTCGTCTGGGCTCAGTGGCTCATACCTATAATCCCAGCACTTTGGGAGGCTGAGGTGGGCAGATCACCTGAGGTTGGGAGTTCGAGACCAGCCTGAGCAAACATGGAGAAATCCTGTCTCTACTAAAAATACAAAATTAGCTGGGCGTGGTGGCGCGTGCCTGTAATCCCAGCTACTCAGGAGGCTGAGGCAGGAGAATTGCCTGAACCCAGGAGGTGGAGGTTGTGGTGAGCCGAGATCGTGCCATTACACTCCAGCCTGGGCAAGGAGAGCGAAACTCTGTCTCAATTAAAAAAAAAACGTTATTATTCAACTATTCATTATTATCTCCTCACGGGCACCGTCATGAGCCAGTTTCCCCAGAATCCAGGTGCAGGAGGGTGTGAGGAAGAAATGCTTTGTAGCCACTGCCTGTGTTGTCTTTGGGGCCTGCCCATGCTAAAAGATGGCTGCAGACAGCTGCTCGCCTGCCGCAGGAGAGGGAGGCTCAGGGCAGCGGGCCTAGCTGCCCGAAGAGGGGGATGGCAGCAGCTGGAGGACAGGGACGCTGGAGAAGACGTCCTCAATAAAAGGCTGTTCAGGACCCTCAAAGGGTTGATTGTTCTAGTCGAGGACCGCTGAGGGCCTGGTTTCTCAGACTTTGGTGACCTCAACTCATGGCAAGAAATAGAAATTTCAGGCCGGGTGGGATGGTTCATGCCTGTAATCCTAGCACTTTGGGAGGCGGAGGCGGGCAGATTGCCTGAGCTCAGGAGTTTGAAACCAGCCTGGGCAATACAGCGAAACCCCGTCCCTACTAAAATACAAAAAATTAGGGCCGGGCACAGTGGCTCAGGCCTGTAATCCCAGCACTTTGGGAGGTCAAGGAGGGCGGATCACCTGAGGTCAGGAGTTCGAGACCAGCCTGACCAACATGGGGAAACCCCGTCTCTATTAAAAATACAAAATTAGCCGGTTGTGGTGGTGCATGCCTGTAATCCCAGCTACTCGGGAGGCTGAGGCAGGAGAATTGCTTAAACCTGGGAGGTGGAGGTTGTGAGTGAGCTGACATCATGCCACTGCACAATACAGTCTGGGCAACAGGAGCAAAACTCTGTCTTAAAAAAAAAAAAAAAAAGGCCAGGCGCGGTGGCTCAAGCTTGTAATCCCAGCACTTTGGGAGGCCGAGGCGGGTGGATCACGAGGTCGAGAGATCGAGACCATCCTGGTCAACATGGTGAAACCCCGTCTCTACTAAAAATACAAAAAATGAGCTGGGCATGGTGGCACGTGCCTGTAATCCCAGCTACTCAGGAGGCTGAGGCAGGAGAATTGCCTGAACCCAGGAGGTGGAGGTTGCGGTGAGCCGAGATCGCGCCATTGCACTCCAGCCTGGGTAACAAGAGAGAAACTCCGTCTCAAAAAAAAAAAAAAAAAAAAAAAAAAAAAAAAAAAATTAGCCAGCTGTGGTGGTGGGCACCTGTAGTCCCAGCTACTCGGGAGGCTGAGGCAGGGGAATTGCTTGAATGCATGAGGCAGAGGTTGCAGTGAGCTGAGATTGTGCCACTGCACCCCAGCCTAGGTGACAGAGAGAGACTCCATCTCAAAATAAAAAAAGAAATATAAATTTCATGGTGACCCAGAAAGTGAACACCTATCCACCACATCTGAAACAAGCTTCCTGTAATAATAACCACAGCAAATCCTGCCACAGTTCTCACTATGTTCCAGTCCTGCTTTAAGCACTTGCATTTTTATTAATTCATTTTTTTAAATTGTATTGCTTTTTTTTTTTTAGCGTCAGGGTCTCACTGTGTTGCTCAGGTTACAGTACAGTGGTCTCATCATAGCTCACTGCAGTCTCCAACTCCTGGGCTCAATCTCCCTGTCTCAGCCTCCTGAGTAGCTGGGACTACAGGCGAGGCCACCACATCTGCCTTTTTTTTTTTTTCTCGTAGAGATGGGGGTCTCACTATGTTGCCCAGGTGGGTCTTGAATGCTTGGCCTTGGGTTATCCTCCCACGATGGCCTCCCAAAGTGCTGAGAATACATGCATGAGTCACTGCACCTGGTCTTATATTAATTTATTTAGCCCCCCAATAACCTTATGAGTTAGAAACTATAATCATCCTCATTTTATGAAACAGGCCTGGCCAATCAGAGCACAGTAATTCACTGAGCAATGGAGAGGCAACCCAGTTCTGGCCAATCAGAGGCACAGGGGCAGGCATGTGACTCAACCTGGGCCAATGGGAGCCAATCTCTGCTGTTTGAACTACTGGGAAAAGGTGCTCTCTCCATGGCAGCTCCTAGGCTGGTGGAATCTGCATTTGAAGCTGCCAGTGGTTACCTTTACCCCAACATGAGAAAAACAGCATCACAGAGAGTTATAATTTATTTTTATTTATTTATTTCTTTGAGACGGAGCCTCATTCTGTCACCCAGGCTGCAATGCAGTGTCACGATCTCGGCTCACAGCAACCTCCGCCTCCCGGGTTCAAGCAATTCTCTGCCTTCCAAATAGCTGGGATTACAGGCGCCTGCCACCATGCCCGGCTAATTTTTGTATTGTAGAGATGGGGTTTCACCATCTTGGGCAGGCTGCTCTTGAACTCTTGACCTCATGATCCACCCGCCTCAGCCTCCCAAAGTGCTGAGATTACAGGCATGAGCCACCCAGCCCGGCTGAGAATTATGATTTTTAACAAAGTGGAAGCACCTGGACCCAGCTGTGCTTCAAGCTGGATTACAGAGCCAACACACTCCTTTTTGGCTTAAGCCAGTTCCAGTTGGGTTTCAAGGTACTTGTAAAGAAAAGGTTTTGGCCAGCCGGGCGCGGTGGCTCAAGCCTGTAATCCCAGCACTTTGGGAGGCCGAGGCGGGTGGATCACGAGGTCGAGAGATCGAGACCATCCTGGTCAACATGGTGAAACCCCGTCTCTACTAAAAATACAAAAAATTAGCTGGGCATGGTGGCACGTGCCTGTAATCCCAGATACTCAGGAGGCTGAGGCAAGAGAATTGCTTGAACCCAGGAGGCGGAGGTTGCAGTGAGCCAAGATCGCGCCATTGCACTCCAGCCTGGGTAACAAGAGCGAAACTCCGTCTCAAAAAAAAAAAAAAAAAAAAAGAAAAAGAAAAGGTTTTGGCCTGGTGTGGTGGCTTATGCCTGTAATCCTAGCAAGTTGGGAGGGTGAGGTGGGTGTATCACAAGGTCAGGAGTTCAAGACCAGCCTGGCCAATATAGTGAAACCCTGTCTCTACTAAAAATACAAAAATTAACTGAGCATGGTGGTGGGTGCCTGTAGTCCCTAGCTGCTCAGGAGGCTGAAGCAGGAGAATTGCTTGAACCCAGGAGGCAGAGGTCGCAGTGAGCCGAAGATCACGCCATTGCACTCCGGTCTGGGTGACAGAGGGAGACTCCAACTCAATAAATAAATAAGTAAGTCAGTAAGTAAATAAATACATGTTTGAATCAATGGTTCAAATGGCTGGGGATGGGAGGTCACATGGGTTCAGGAGCCACAGAAAGTGGCCCAATCCTGACAGGGGACTCACAGCGTTCGCTCTGCATGTACCGGACTACCCCTTCCAAGGTCAGCTCGTCCAGCAGACGTTCCTTCTGGCTGCCCAGGCTGAGCGTCTGGGTGAAGAAGTTCCGCAGGAAGTCCACTGACCACAAAGAAGAGAGAAAGCGTCATGATAGGCATTCAGCTGGGGGCATGGATGTCTCCAGCACCCTGGTCCCAGTCCTGGGGTCCCCGGCCTCTCCACATCTAAAGGCAAGAGGCCCAGCCCAGCCAGGGCCTCCAGGAGCCTGCTCTAGCACTGGTACCCAACCCACTGCTACATGCTTTCAGTGTCACTCCTGATGGAGTTGAGAGGTATCACCCAAAACCCTGCCCTAAAATCCCCCCACACCCCAGAACCCCACTGCCTGTCCCCCAAGGAAGATACTCACTGTCTGGTTCTCCACCAGTGGCTCCGTTCTCAGTGTCTGAATCTGAGTCCTGGAAGGGGTGGGGTGGGGTAGCCAGGCCCCAGAGGTGAGATTAGGGAGGGGAGAGAGGGGTTGATACTAGGTTTGGGCAGGAGGCTGTGGCAGGACGGCAGCCTGAGGAAGTGCGGGATGGTGGAGAGACAGCGCTGGAGCTAGCTCAAGGGCTGTGGGACAGGCTGCCTGGGTGGGAGTCCTGGTCGTGCTAGTCCCCAGGAACAGGACCTCATGCAAGTGACTTAACTTTTCTCTCTCTTTTTTTTTTTGAGACAGGGTCTCGCTCTGTGGCCCAGGCTGGAGTGCAGTGGCGCAATCACAGCTCGATGCAGCCTCAACCTCCCAAGCTCAAGGGATCCTCCCAAGCTCAAGGGATCCTCTCACCTCAGCTTCCCAAGTAGCTGGAACCACAGGCACATGCTATCATATCCTGCTAATTTTTTCTTTCTTTCTTTCTTTTTTGAAGAGGCGAGGTGTCTCTGTGTTGTCCAGGCTAGCCTTGAACTCCTAGGCTCAAGTGAGTCTCCTGCCTCAGCCTCCCAAAGTGCTAGGATTCCAGGCGCGAGCCACTGTACCTGGCAGGGACTTTGATTTTCTAAGTCTGGCTGTCCCTCACCTTGGAAAGGGAGCTGGGGTGCTGGGTATGGCACCAGGAGCCGGGGGGCGGGGGTGCTCCAAAAGTGCTGGCTATTGCTGTTAATATTACCACAGCCTGGGGTCCTCCCTTTGTCCCCTGGTCCCCTGGAGTGTGGGCCTGCTACCCCTTCCCAGCAGCCCTGGGGCCCTCTGAATAATGTCCCAAGTCACTCTGAAAATGGTTCCAATGCAAAGCCTCGGTGCTCATTGCAAGGACCTACACCCCCCCACCACCCCACTTGAGAACCCAAACACCTCTTGAAGCCTCCCCTCAGCCCAGCTCCAGAGTGGCAGGTCTCTGGGACTCTGTCCGGGGCCTCTCTGCTTTCTCTTTCCACTTGTCCCAGGGCTACCTGCCCCATCCATGCCAATGGCCTCTGCCTCCTCACTCATGATACCATCTCTCTGCCCCCAGATCTGGGGTTCCATGGCCTCCTGGACACCCTGCCCTAGGTACCCCCCAGACTCTCACTCCTACCATGTCTCAAACTGGCCTTGACATCTCCCTCAAACCCATCCTCCTCCCAGGCCACAGCTCAACACGATCGTACTGTCCCCCAGTCTGCCAGCTGTTTCCTGCGCCTGCCTCCCTCCTCATCCTCCTGCCACAGCCCTTCAGCTCCAGAGCATGGAGCCAGCTAAGGGTCTGCCTGCTAACCCCCTTTTCCTCACTGGGGCTCCACCTGGTCTAGCCTGTCCTCTTCTCCAGGGGTCCTACCTCAGCCTCCTCACCCAGCTTCCCACCCTCGGTCTCCACCTCATCCACCCTGCTGCCCTGCACGGGAGGCTGTCTGGGTCAGCCCGCTCCTCTCCACTTCAAAGACCCTTCTCTGTGGCTTCTCTAGTCTTCCCAGATATCTATGGAATTGCCAGGATGTCCACAAGGGCAGGGACTTTGTCTGCATGTTCACCACTGAATGCCCAGCACTGAGAACAGGGCCTAGCTCCCGGCAGGACCTCTAGAACCCTCCACCACGGAATGAATGCCTGCTTCAGGCTGGGCCACAGCTGGGCCCTGCCATGGATTTTACCAAAATGCAGTTCAGACCAAGCCACCCCCTCAAACAACCCCCCTTCCCCGGCCTTCCCCGGCCACTCATTGCCTTGTGTCCAAGCTTTTTTTGAATAAGACCCTCCCTTCCAAACACAGGACAATTTTTTAAAATTGCTTTTTAAAATTGCACAACCTCAGCTGCGCACGGCGGCTCATGCCTGTCATTCCAACACTCTGCAAGGCTGAGGCAGGAAGACTGCTTGGGGCCAGGAGTTCAAGACCAGCCTAGGTAATACAGTGAGACCCTGTCTCTATTTAAAGAGAGAGAGAATGAGAGACAGAGAGACAAAGAGAAAGAGAGATTGGACAACCTCTGCGAAACCTTGACCATACTCGCGTATACTTCAGTAATGTATAACTCAGGGCCTTTGCCTTGTAATTGCCCAAGCTCACCGTTATGAAGATAACCATTGTTGGCTGGGCGTGGTGGCTCACGCCTGTAATCTAAGCACTTTGGAGGCCAAGGCAGGTGGATCACCTGAGGTCGGGAGCTCCAGACCAGCCTGACCAACATGGTAAAAACCCGTCTTAAAAAAAAAAAAAAAAGATAACCATTGTTAACTACGCCTAATGGTAATTACTCCAGTTTTCTCTGTATAAATTGAATTATTTTTACAGGAATAGGTCATAGAATCATGCAACATCTTGAGTTTTCTGCAGAACAATATACTACAGGCCCATCCCATTAAAAAAAATTTTTTTTGGGGGGTCAAATGGAATTTCAAAAAAAAAAAAATTTCTTTTTTTTAAAAAGAGACAGTGGGCTGGGTGCGGTGTCAGTCTGTAATCCCAGAAATTTGGGAGGCAGAAGTGGGAGGATCACAAGGTCAAGAGTTCAAGGCCAGCCTGACCAACACGGTGAAACCCCATCTCTACTAAAAATACAAAAATTAGCCAGAAGTGGTTCCACGAACCTGTAATCCCAGCTACCTGGGAAGCTAAGGCAGGAAAATCTCTTGAACCCAGGAGGCAGAGGTTGCAGTGAGTCGAGAGTATGCCATTGCATTCCAGCCTGGGCAACAGAGCAAGACTCTGTCTCAAAAAAAAAAAAAAAAAAAAAAAAAAAATAGACAGCATCCTGTTACGTTGCCCAGGCTGCTCTCGAATTCCTGGGCTCAAGTGATCCTCCTGACTCCCAAAGTGTTGGGATTACAGGTGTGAGCCACTGTGCCTGGCCTCACCTCATTTTTCACAGCAGCTGCATAGTGCTGGATTGTATGGATGAACCATAGTTCATTTAACCCATCCACTGACAGCCATTTGGACTATTTCCAGTTTGGCCCTGTGACGGACAATGCTGCATTTTACATCTCTCTCTTTGGGACTGAGGCTCCCTTTTCACATTCAACCTTTTTCTCTGACAGTGGTGGTGCTTTGGGGGCCAGGCGAGTGACTTGCCACAGTCTAACAGGAGGCTGTTATACCCTCAGCATGGCTCCACTGTGCATTTGTGAGGTATTCTGATGCCCACTTCTGCACCGCCCCCCCCATCTGAAAGGCAATCTCGGGGTTGTGGGTGGGCTGGCACTCTTTCAGGCTGTACACAGTGAGGCTCTGTGGAGGGCCTGTGCCCAGCATGTGCCTGTAGCTTGGCCTAAGGGAGAGCTGGAGGTGCTGGCAGGTGCCTTCAAGCTCCCATGAGACTGCCTGCCCACCTCTCCTGGCAGCTGCTGGCAGGCAGTGCACCCAGCGCTGGGGGACTCAAACCCTTCCTTTTTTAATTTTAATTTTTATTTTTTGAGATAGAGTCTCGGGCCGGGCGCGGTGGCTCACGCCTGTAATCCCAGCACTTTGGGAGGCCGAGGCGGGTGGATCACGAGGTCAAGAGATTGAGACCATCCTGGTCAACATGGTGAAACCCCGTCTCTACTAAAAATACAAAAATTAGCTGGGCATGGTGGCGCGTGCCTGTAATCCCAGCTACTCAGGAGGCTGAGGCAGGAAAATTGCCTGAACCCAGGAGGTGGAGGTTGCGGTGAGCCGAGATCGCGCCATTGCACTCCAGCCTGGGTAACAAGAGCGAAACTCCGTCTCAAAAAAAAAAAAAAAAAAAAAAAAAAAAAAAAAAGAGACAGAGTCTCTCTCTGCCACCAGGTGCCAGGCTGGAGTGCAGCGGAGTGATCTCGGCACACTGCAACCTCCGCCTCCCAGGTTCAAGCAATTCTCCTGCCTCACCGCCTCTTGAGTAGCTGGGACTACAGGCACGCACCACCACACCCAGATAAGTTTTGTATTTTTTAGTAGAGATGGGGTTTCACCATGTCGGCCGGGATGGTCGCAATCTCTTGACCTCAAGTGATCTGCCTGCCTTGGCCTCCCAAAGTGCTGGGATTACAGGTGTGAGCCACCGTGCCCGGCCTCAAACCCTTCCTTACTCCTGTTGCCTAGGGACAGAGGATAAGTGACTTAAAAACTCTGCCTCAAATTCTGCATCTGTAAAATGGCCACGATAGACATTTTTCTTCACAGGGATGCCAGGAACACGAAATGAGATGAGGCACGTTTGTGACTGAAACAGTGCCCAGCCTAAGTAAGCTGTCAGTCAATGCTAAACACGACTATCACAAGCTGACCACCACCAGCCGCCCAATTACGGAACACACCATCACACTCCTTCCTGGCCCCAGGTCTTTGCACAAGCTGTATCTGCTGTGTGGACCACCATTTCTCACCTTGTCTCAGAAAATTCTAAGTCACTCTTCACTTATGCTGTGTCTGACAGCTAGACCAGCCTGCAGACTCCTCCAGGGACTGGTCTGGGTGGAATCTTCTTTGACCCAGAGTTTTCTCTGTGCTCCCACAGTGCCCTGAGTTTCTTTCTATTTATTCCCCCCACCCTTTTTTTTTTTTTTTTTTTTTTTTTTTTGAGACAGGGTCTTGTTCTGTCACCCAGGTTGGAGTGTAGTGTCACAATCATGGCACACCGTGGCCTCAACCTCCTGGGCTTAAATCCTCCCCCACTCAGCCTCCTGAGTAGCTGGTACTACAGGCATGAAACACTGCACATGGCTAATTTCTAAATTTTTTGTAGAGATGGGGGCCACTTATGTTGGCCAGACTGGTCTGAAACTCCTGAGTTCAAGCGATCCTCCTACCTCAGACTCGCAAAGTAATGGAATTACAAGCATGAGCCACTGTGTCTGGCCCTGAGTTACTTATTTTCTTTCTTTTTTACTTCTTTTTTAATTAATTAATTAATTAATTAATTAATTTTTATTTTTATTTTTTGTGAGACGGAGTTTCGCTCTTGTTACCCAGGCTGGAGTGCAATAGCGCGATCTCAGCTCACTGCAACCTCCGCCCCCTGGGTTCAGGCAATTCTCCTGCCTCAGCCTCCTGAGTAGCTGGGATTACAGGCACGCGCCACCATGCCCAGCTAATTTTTTGTATTTTTAGTAGAGACGGGGTTTCACCATGTTGACCAGGATGGTCTCGATCTGTCGACCTCGTGATCCACCCGCCTCGGCCTCCCAAAGTGCCGGGATTACAGGCTTGAGCCACCAGTGCCCGGCCTTTTTTTTTTTTTTTTTTTTTTTTAATTTTATTTTTTATTTTTTTTTGAGACGGAGTTTCGCTCTTGTTACCCAGGCTGGAGTTTAATGGCGCGATCTTGGCTCACTGCAACCTCGGCCTCCTGGGTTCAGGCAATTCTCCTGCCTCAGCCTCCAGAGTAGCTGGGATTACAGGCACGCGCCACCATGCCCAGCTAATTTTTTGCAACTTTAGTAGAGACGGGGTTTCACCATGTTGACCAGGATGGTCTCGATCTCTTGACCTCGTGATCGACCCGCCTCGGCCTCCCAAAGTGCTGGGATTACAGGCTTGAGCCACCGCGCCTGGCCCTTTTTTACTTCTTAGAGAAAGGGTCTTGCTCTTTCACGCAGGCTGGAGTGCAGTTATGCAATCATGGCTCACTGTAGCCTCAAACTCCTGGACTCAAGTGACCCTCATGCCTCAGCCTCCTGAGTTATTAGGATTACAGGTATAAGCCACTGCACCTGCCTCCTCCGCCCCTACCCCGAGTTCCTTTCATCATCACGCTGTGAGATCATTTTTCCCATTGCTTGTCCATGAGATCTGTGTGTTCCAAGACCAAATGGGACACCTGTCTCTTCCAGGCCCAGGACGAATTTGGTTCAGAAGGGATGGCAGGCAGTGGCAAGGAAGGAGGCGAGTTTGGGAGGGCAGGCCTGGACTGGAGCCTGCAAACTTCTGTGACAATCCCCAGAATCTGCCTTTCCCCAGAAAGCTGCATTGGGTGGCGTGAGGATTGGGACAATGAGCCAAGGGCCCTGGGGTGACTGTCTCTCCTTTGCCACCTCCCCCCAACACGGGATGTGGAACAAGTCCATGTCTCTCCTCCCCTCCACCATTTCCCCCATCTCACCTGAGCCTCCTGCACCTTCCCTGCCTGGGTCTCCAGAGGGTGAGAGGCTGGGGGAGGGGAGCAGAGGTGGTTACAGTGGGGAGAACGATTAAGGGGGGAATACAAGGGTTCAAATTGTCAGTGAGGGGCAAGTACACCCACCAACCTAGTTACACTGGGACGGGGTGGGGGTAAAACTGAAGCAGAGGGAAGGCAGGGACGGGAGAAAAGATTATCCGCATGCAATGTGATGCCCGGACAGGTGATTAGTGAGGGGCAGAGAGGCTGGGGAGGTTTAGCAGGACAGGGAGAAGTAGGGGCTTTTGCCCAGGCTGGTCTTGAACTCCTGGGCTCAAGCAATCCAACCACCTTGGCCTCCCAAAGTACTGGGATTACAGGCATGAGCCATTGTGTCTGGCCCTGACTTCCTTTGTTTTTTACTTTTTAGAGAAAGGGTCTGGCTCATGTCACCCCGGCTGGAATGCAATGGTGCGATCACAGCTCACTGCAGCCTCAAACTCCTGGGCTCAAGCGATCCTCCTACCTCCTGCCTAGGGGATTCAGGGTATGAAGGAAGCACTCAGGAGGAGTTAGGAAGGACACGGCAGTGTGTGAGTGTGTGTGCGGGAGGGTTAGATGTACAAGGCAGAGGGAAGTTTAGAAAGGAAGGGAGAAGGGAGGGGACGCTTCGGCTGGGAGGCAGGTTTGGGAGGGAGGTGCAGTGGTGCAGTGGAGGCGGTAAGGTTGGGAGAGGCGTGGATGCGAAGGGAAGCCATAGGAGGGGACAACAGGGGTCCCTCAGCATCCTCCGGTTGCCTCTAACAATCAGGTACCCTTAGCAACAGGGACCGCGGCAACTTAGGTTCTTTGCAGCGAGGGTCCTTAGCAACCAAGATGCGAAAAACACGCCATTATTGGCAACTTGGCAAGCGGATGTGGTAAACCAACCCTGAACACCCTGCGACCCAGAAACCCACCAGCCTAGCGATACAGATCGCTTAGCAACAGCCCTCAGAATCCCGCTCCCCGAAGCGCTCCCTACTTCCCGCCCCGCCGCGGCCGCCCTCGGGCCCCGGGGCCTGCAGCCTTCAAGCTAGGCCCCGGCGCGGCCCGACCCTCCCACCCGGGTCCCCGACTCACGGTCTGGCTCTGCCATGGGCGCGGTGCTGAAGCCCTCGTGGCTGTCACCGATCGCTCTGTCCCGTCACCAACCACTGTGTCCCGTCACCGACTGCTCTGTCCTGTCACCGACTGCTCTGTCCCGTGACGGCACCAGAAATGGGAGTGGCCGGGATAGGGCTTGGAACTACAACTCCCAGTAGCCATTGCGGCCGCAGCCGCGCTTTCGAACAACAGCCAGAGCGTCCCAGTCTTAGGTAAGACAGCGCGCGAGAGCCGGACTACGAGTCCCAGAAGGCGCGGCGTCAGCAGCCATGTTGGTAAAGGGCGCCCGGAAAATGTAGAAACGGCTAGTGAGTCGTAGTCCTCCCAAATGCTCTGATTGGTCGGGATACGGTACAAGGGCAGGCGCGAGCGATTCAGCATATTATCATTGGATGAATCAGGGGGCGTGGTGGGGAATTTCCCGCAGGGCGGAAGCGCCAGAAGTCCCGGCAAAGGCCAGTTACAGGCGAGCTACTGCGGGGGCCCCTGAGGTGGCGGGGGCCATGGCTGGGGTCGCGTGCTTGGGAAAAGCTGCCGACGCAGATGAATGGTGCGACAGCGGCCTAGGCTCCCTGGGTCCGGACGCAGCGGCCCCCGGAGGACCGGGCTTGGGCGCGGAGCTGGGCCCGGGGCTGTCGTGGGCGCCCCTCGTCTTCGGCTACGTCACTGAGGATGGGGACACGTGAGTGAACCTTAGGCTGCCAAACGGAGCCCTAGGACCCGGCGTCTGATTCCTCATTAGTCTCTGATCCCTGAGGCTTCCTAACCTCCTACTCCTAAATCTGATTTCCGATGCTGAACTTCCTGACCTGTAACCCCTGAGTCCTAACTTTTAACAAAACCAATCTTCTATCCAGCTGTGATCCTAACCCAATCATTTCAGACCTTCCTTCCTTGAACTATGATTCTCAGCTCCTGAAATCCATTCTATCCACGGATACCCAAACCCCACTCCAGTCCTGAGGCTTTTGTTAGAACTGTGGCTTCTCCTGACTTCGAACCTCCAAATATAATCTTTGATTCTGATTTCCGAAATTAATACTTGGTCCCTGACTCTAAGACCTTGTCTTCTGAGCAGTGTTCTTCAAGTCTTAAAGTCAAAGAGTGAGAACGTAAGTTTTTCTATGTTGAATTCCTAACTGAAGTAGAAAAATAGGAAAAGAAAAAAGAAGAATGTAAGCTCCATGAAACCAAGGATTCATCTGTTAAACAAATATTCTTTACACATTACCACATTCCAGGCTTCGTTTTAGGTGCTAGTGATAAAGGTAGTGAACAAAACAGACAAAAACTAAAGTCCTTGTGAAGGAGACGTTTTATTTTAGTGGGGCTAAATAAACAGATTGATAAGACAGCAAGGAAGGAAAGAAACAAAGAAAGAAACACATGCAGAAAGAAAGAAACCAAGTAAGAGAAGGAAAGAAAGTCACAGGTTGTCAGTACTCTGGAGAAAAATAAAGCAGGAAAATGAGGCAATAGATAAACAAGATAGGAGCATTTCAGGCAGAAGGAACTGAATTGCAAAGGCCCAGATGAGGGACTGTACTGGGTTTTTTTGTGTTGTGTTTACTGCCGTATGCCCAGTGATGCAAGCAGTGCCTGACCCAGGAAGCACTTAATAAATACTGATCTTACCAAAGAACCAGCTTTAGGTTTATTAATTTTCATTAATTAATTTGGTTTCATTAATTTTTAGTTTTTAATTGGTCTTTGATTCTTAGCTCACTCCAAAGTGTGAACTACTGCACCCGGCCAACAACTCTGTTTTGTACTCTGTCCTGTGACTCTCACAAGCCTGGTCTCTACAGACTCTTCCTCCATGTCCATCTCCTGACCTCAGACAACCTGATGGGCTCTGCTTGGGGTCCCCTCTCTCAACCGTGGCTCTCAAGATCATAAGCTGTGGTAGTCAAGTGTAGGGCCCACCTCATGTTTGCTGTCTTTTAGGGGCCACTGTGATTCATTGCATGACGTCCAGCATCTTCAACACTGTTGCTTCATATACCGTATTTCGTCTGATTTTTCTTTGCTTCTTGTGGGAGGGAAGTCTGGTCCATGTTACTTCATTTTGGGCAGAAGTGGAAATCCCACTGAATAAACATTGTTGATTCCACAAATTTGCTGATGAAACTCTGACCTCTCTGACCCTCCCAGATAGCTGACAGTGGGTTCCAGAACTGTGGTCCCAAAGCCTAGCATACAGTAGGCACCCCCTGTTTGTTGAATGAAGGAATGCAAGAGGACTTGAATTTTGCCCTCTGACCCCAGTCTTTGTCCCCAGGGCACTGCATTTGGCTGTGATTCATCAGCATGAACCCTTCCTGGATTTTCTTCTAGGCTTCTCAGCCGGCACTGAATACATGGACCTGCAGAATGACCTAGGCCAGGTGAGCCACGAGGGGACGGAGTAGGGGTTGGGGTCTGGGGTTCCCAGTGTGACTCCCTACTGCCTGTCCTCTGCTTCTGCAGACGGCCCTGCACCTGGCAGCCATCCTGGGGGAGGCATCCACGGTGGAGAAGCTGTATGCAGCAGGCGCTGGGCTGTGCGTGGCAGAGCGCGGGGGCCACACGGCGCTGCACCTGGCCTGCCGTGTGGGGGCACATGCCTGTGCCCGTGCCCTGCTTCAGCCCCGTCCCCGGCGGCCCAGGGAAGCCCTGGACACCTACCGCGCTCAGGGCCTGGACCATAATCCCGACACCAACCATACCCCTGTCGCCTTGTACCCCGATTCCAACTTGGAGAAGGAAGAAGAGGAGAGTGAGGAGGACTGGAAGCTACAGCTGGAGGCTGAAAACTACGAGGGTGAGGGTCGCCACCAGGGAAGGACTGAGCTCCCAGGCTAGCACCTGGCCCTGGGCTCTCTTCCCTGATTCCAGACCGAACTCCTTGGGAAATCACACCTAGGCTTCAGGAACCCAGGCATCGGGACCAGGGACGTCCACTCAGGGCCCAGATGATTGACAATTGGATGTGTAGGACCCAGGATTCCCACTTGGAGGCCCCAGATCACTTGGGACGCAGACCTGGCACTCACAGACCTAGAGCTGCCAGGATCCGGTTGCTGGGCCCCTGGGCTCCCCACCTGCAGGGTGTATTCAAGCTGGGATCCCTACCCCACCTAGGACCAGGGAATGCAGAGCTCAGACCCTCTGGGAAACTCTGGCACCCCAGGTTCCCAGCGATGGGCAGCAGGGACAGCCCTCCTCTGCCTCATGGGAAAAAGGAGTCACCTGCCCACAGCCTGGCATCCAAGTTTCTGCTCCCTCACGTATAAGCCTGCCCACCTGGTGCCAGACCAGATGGACTGAGGTCATTCAGGACCCAGTGTTCAGGGCCTGCTTCTCACCCCCAGATCACGCCTTTTTCAGCTACTTGGTAGTACCCTTTTTTTTTTTTTTTTTTTTTGAGATGGAGTCTCACTCTCGACCAGGCTGGAGTGCAGTGGTGTGATCTCAGCTCACTGCACCCTCCACCTCCTGCGTTCAAGCAATTATCCTGCCTCAGCCTCCCGAGTAGCTGGGACTATAGGCGCCCGCCACCACACCTGGCTAATTTTTTGTATTTACTAGAGATGGCGTTTCACTATGTTGGCCAGGATGGTCTCAATCTCCTGACCTCGTGATCTTCCCGCTTTGGCCTCTCAAAGTCCTGGGATTGCAGGCGTGAGCCAGCGTACCAGCTCAGGTCCTTTGTGAAATAAGAGCAGAGACTTAGGTCTTCTGGCCCCCAAATCCAGACTCCCCCATCCACAGACCCCAAGCTCTTCACCTCTGGGCCCCAGGTTCTCAAAGACCAGGCTCCAGCACTTGCTGGCAAGCTCAGGCCATCTGACACAGACATTTAGGACCCAGGTACCTCTCTGACATACCCCAAGATTCAGGAACCAGCCCCACACCTGATCACCCTCAGGCCACATGGCCCTCCCCCAGGATCAAAGCATGGGGGACCCCTCACCCCGTCATCTGATGCGTCACTCTGTCCCCAGGCCACACCCCACTCCACGTGGCCGTTATCCACAAAGATGCGGAGATGGTCCAGCTGCTCCGAGACGCCGGAGCTGACCTCAACAAACCGGTGAGCCCCACCCTGGGGGAAGCTGCTGTCATCGAGAGGGGGCTGGCCCCCTCCTCGGGCCCTCTGACCCTTCTGCTCTACCCCCACAGGAGCCCACGTGTGGCCGGACCCCCCTGCACTTGGCAGTGGAGGCTCAGGCGGCCGATGTGCTGGAGCTTCTCCTGGGGGCAGGTGCCAACCCTGCTGCCCGCATGTACGGTGGCCGCACCCCCCTGGGCAGCGCCACGCTCCGGCCCAACCCCATCCTTGCCCGCCTCCTCCGTCAACACGGAGCCCCTGAGCCTGAGGACGAGGACGACAAACCCGGCCTCTGCAGCAGCAGTAGCGACAGCGACAGCGACAGCGGAGACGAGGGCGTGAGTCAGGAGGCGAGACAGGGCCGCCCAGCTGGGGGGTCAGGGTAGACCGGCAGGCAGGAATCGGGAGAAGATAATTAGGCGCACATGGAAACCCACCTCGGGCTGCTGCTGCTGGAGAACTCAGGCAGGTGGCAGCGCCTGTGACGTGGGGCACTAGTCAGGAGAGACCTGGATGGGGAGGTGGGAAGAGCTTGGGCAGAAGTGGCTGAAAAGCTAAGGTGGTGACAAAAGTAGAACTCAGCCAGAGTTGGAGAAAAGGCCTTGGTCGTAGTGATTGGTGAACACAGGCGGGGGTGGGTGGCAGCGTCGGAGCTGGAGAATTCAGGCTATGAAAAGACAGTCTTGGGTGGCAGTGATTTGAACACCAGCAGTGGTGGGGCAGGACCCAAGCCAGCGGCGGGGAGAGAGGCAGTCAGAGAACCCAGCAATACAGACCTGACCTTGGGCAAGGCGCGGAGCTGAATGATGGGCATGCAGTAATTTGGGTAAAGGCGGAGGGAAGGGGTGGAGGAGGGCCGCCTCAGTTGCCGGAATGCTGGAGTGTCGGCTGGGCTAGAGCTCAGACTATAGAAGTAAATTTGAAAATGGAGTTCTGGGGCCGGGCGCGGTGGCTCAAGCCTGTAATCCCAGCACTTTGGGAGGCCGAGGCGGGTGGATCATGAGGTCGAGAGATCAAGACCAGCCCGGTCAACATGGTGAAACCCCGTCTCTACTAAAAATACAAAAAATTAGCTGGGCATGGTGGCACGTGCCTGTAATCCCAGCTACTCGGGAGGCTGAGGCAGGAGAATTGCCTGAACCCAGGAGGCGGAGGTTGCGGTGAGCCGAGATCGCGCCATTGCACTCCAGCCTGCGTAACAAGA